ATAAAAAGTAGCACTGTTATATCTCTTTATTATGGGATAATTGTGCAATAATGGCAATGTCGTGTGAAAATCTTCCAGTTATTGCAGGATATTGACAGAAATAATACAGTTTAACCACTGTGTCTCAGTGCTATGGATTTGTAGGGATTTGTAGTTTATTGTGGCACCAGAGTTCTCTGACAGAGAAGTCATGTCTCACAAAACTAAAATTCCCAGAATTCCATAGCCTTGAGCCATGGCAGTTAAAGTGGTGTCAAACTGAATTTTTTTCTGCAGTGTGGATGCAGCCTAAATCTACCCAAACAGTTCAACTGTTTAGTGTTTATTATCAAAAAATGCAAACAGAATAAAAATGCTAATGAAAATAAAATAATTTGCTGACAAGTATTTATTTATTTATTGGGAATAATGTGTTTTCAAGAAATGAATGGTGAATGTGCATCTCCAACTTTTGATTTGTATGAGTGTTTTAGCACATTGTTATCATTATATTGTTAATTTGGTGATGGGAGATAATAAAGGTTAAAAAATATTAATTGAGAAAGGAAGGGATGGGAAAGTAACAGGAATAGTTTAGCTAACTGTACAATTTAGGGGCTTTTTTACATGCCGAAAAAAGAGGGGAGCATAGCCCACAGAGTTTCACACAATGTCACACAATGTCACCATTATCATGTGGTTATCCCATGAATAAATAGGCATAATCATGCCGCTTTTTATTCAAAGAAAAATCCCATGAATAAAATTATGCCTCTTATTCATAGGATAATTGTGCCATAATGGCGGCAGCATGTGAAAATCTTCTCGTTATTGCGGGATATTGACAGGACCTTAGTGCTATGCTCCCACCTTTTTTCGCTGTGTGAAAAAGTCCTAAGTCTCCATACAAAATTAAAAGGGGCAGAAGGGGTTGTACATGAGAAGTCCACATAGGGGCCCAAGAGAAAATTTCCTATAGCAGATTCTTAGAGATGGAAAAGATTGTGCTCCATGGTTCAAAACACACTGCAGAAATAATCCAGTTTGAGACCCCTTTAACTGCCCTGGCTCGATGCTAGGGAATTCTAGGAACTGTAATTTTGTGAGACATTTAGCTTTCTCTGTCAGAGAGCTCTGGTGCCACAATAAACTACAATTCCCAGGATTCCCTAGAACAGAGCCTGGGCAGTTAAAGGGGTCTCAAACTGGATTATTTCTGCAGTGTGTACTGCTTCAATACATGTTCATCAGCTAGGGCTGTCAGGCGAAATAAGGACAAAACTCCTGTGCTTTTAATGGTTGTGTAGAAGAGGGAATTTCGGCAGGTGATGCTTGCATGAGGATTTACCCTTCTACACAACAGTTAAAGATATTTCACCTAGCCATTCTATCATCAGTTCATACATTCATGTGTTCATTCCTGCCCAAGTACAGCTGTATACTTGATGTGTACTCTGGATTTAAGAGGATTCTTGCCCCTTGGTACAAATCAGGAGCAAACACAGACACAAAGAGAGCTTCACAAGCACTTGGACATATAAACTTGAACACACAATGTAAACAAATGTGCAGTGGAACATGTGAACATCCCTTAGAACAGCAGTCTTCAACATTTTAAAACAATTAATATATGTACATTTTCTGAGGGATCAACACATTAATTAGAAAGAAATACACAAAACTGGAAAGGCATTCCATAATTGTACAATTTAAGTCTCCAAACAACTGGAAAGGCATTCTTTTCTCCTTTTTCCAACAATTTCTGCTGCTGGTGGTGTATGTAAACACCAGAATCATTCAGCTCTTCATCAGAAAAATATGTTTCAACTAAAGAATCTAAATAAAAAGGTATTTTATTTTTAGGAAGTCAGATAAATGTTGATGTAATTCAAATGTTTTTGTATTCAAAATACCAATTCTATTCTAATTTATCTGGAAGTAGATCCTACTGTCAAGAAATCATTTATAAATATATGCATATATAAATAATTCTTTTTTTAAAGTTGCTTCTTCTTCTGATTTCTTCTTCTGATTTCTTGACTTATTTATATCAGAAGAAGACTTGGAAGGGCAGCTATGAATGAACAAGACAAGATCCTGAAGTGTAAAGATATGTCATTGAATACTGAAGTTAGGATTGTCCATGCCGTCTTTCCCATTTCTATGTATGGTTGCTAAAGCCGGACAGTGAAAAGGCTGATAGCAGGAAAACATCAACTCATTTGAAAAGTGGTGATGGAGAAGAGTTTACATTCAATGGACTGCTCAAAAGACAAATAAATGGGTCCTACAGCAAATGAAACTTGAACTCCCCCTAGAAGCTAACTAAACTGTTGTACTTTTGACAATCACAAGACAACATGGCTTACTAGAAAAGACAATAATGGTTGGTATGGTAGAAGGAAGTAGAAAAAGAGGAAAGGCACATTACAGATGGAAACACTCAAACAAGGAAGCCACATCCCTGAATCTGCACGACCTGAGCAGAACGGTAGATGACAGGGCAACTTGGAGGTCTCTCATTCATAGGGTTGCCACAAGTCAAACTCAACATGACAACAACAAAGATCCTCTTGATCCCAATACTGCAATCGAACTTACCACTGAGTACACATGTCTGGGATTGCTCTATAAATAAATAACCATCTGTTAAGAGTCAGATTTGAGTCCATGAATCTGGGCTGTCATAAGGGAACTTTCCTGTTCCACACCTCTCTATGGCCAGCCCTCCAGCTCCCTGCAAATCCTACACAGTTGGTTGGGCAACACACTATCTGAATGAGGTGAGCTACACTGCTATGCAGAAAGAATCCCTGAAGATGGAGAAAGAAATTTTCTGTCTGTGGAACACAAATCATGACTAGCCCAGTGGTACTCAAACTTTTTACCCTTGGGATTCCCCCCCCCCTTTACATCTATTTGCAGATGTTGCACATACACCCCAACATAGTATATGAATAAAAATATTTTGTTTATTTAGTGTATGTATTTTCTTTCGCACTTGTACATATATTCATATTTTAACATTTTATAAGGAAAAACGTTCAAATTAGAAAAGGTTTAATTTAAGTAATTTCAATATTCCACTTAACACATGTGTAAATTTTACACATAAAAAGTTGGGGAAGAAAAGAAGGAAGGGTTCCGCCCTACCATTTGAGAACCACTGCTGCATTGACTAGTGAATGATCCCTATTAGTACATTTTCTTTATTTATAAGCAAGGAATTAATTTTAGAAATAAAGATATGCATACATAAATGATTCTTCATTTAAAGTTGCTTTTCCTACTGAAAATCAACTGAGCATCCAATTTTGACTAGACCTCTGCTCGTACTCTAAAATCATACAAAAACAACCAATATAATTTTTAACATTTATTCAGGGGCACCAATTCTATTATGCAAGCTTCAAAGGGGCATTAATAACATATCAAGAATCCAAAGATATAGCCATGTTAGTCTGTAGAATCAGGATGTAGAGAGATCTTGTAGCACCTTTGAGATTCACTGAAAGAAACAAAATTGGCAGTATGAGCTTCAATAGACTTCAGTCTACTTCCTCAGATGCATATAGACTGAAGTCTAGGGAAGCTGACGCTGCCAATTTCTTTCTTTCAGTGAGTCTCAAAGGTGCTACAAGATCTCTCTACATACCAAGAACCCATCAAACTTCAACTGTCTTCCAGAGCTGCCCTTCTGATCATCTATAGAAACACGCATCCTTTTCAAAAAATTGTATTGAATTATTTTAATAAAGACAGTATTACACATAACCCATGCCCCCTTCCAAAGGGCCTTAAGAGAGATGAGAATCAGTGCTCTGTTTACATTCAAATAACTGCATTCAATATATGGGATATGGATTTAATTACATTATTAACTTCATTGTACTCCGCACTCCCTTTAAACCTTCCCAAGAAAAAACAAGCACACCTCCTTAAATCGAGAGCTGTGGATTAAAAACATGACATGAGTTAGCCTTAAAGTGGCTTCGATCACTTTCCTGGTTGGGGGGGGGGGGTGAAGAAAGATCTCTATGCACTTTCCCAGAAATTCCCATATATATCCTTCAAGACAAAACTTGTACAAGAAACTGAAAGTACCTCAGGTCTTGGAGTTTGGTGCAGTACATTCCCTCCAGAGTTCTGCTCTTGATGTCCAGATCCGACTCAGTCCTCCTGCTGTTGCATCTCCCAAATGTGGTGATGTGCTTTGCAGCTACTTGTGGCACAGGGTAGCTAAATGTGTGAAGGCTTCTTCAGGCTGAGAGCACTGCCCACTGTCCTGATTCCTCCTTGCTGGCTGCTTCATCCCTTCTCCCTCCTTGCCTGCCTTGTGCTGTTGCAGAGAGCCTGCTCTTTTAATGCCTGGAGCTCTTTCCTTTTCTGGATCAGGAGCCAGCCCCTTGGAGAGCTCCCCACTTGGGCTCCTAGAGAACCAAGCCCACCTCCAAGGAAACACAAGGCTGCTAGCACTGGAAGGAGAGGAGGGGAGGAGATGCTGGGAATCATGTGCTCTGGACAAAAAGACTCTTTTCTAGCTTGTACTTTGCCTGCACCAAATGTTTTGATAAGGACCGGCCTTAAAAGGGGGGACAAAAAAATACCAAAAAGCTATATTCCCGCCCCCCCTTAAAATACAATAAGAACATCCCCAGCTATGAAAACGGGCAGTCGCTTTTTCCGCTAGCTTGTAGGCATTTACAAAGCACAGGAATGCAAAATCGACACACGTGTGCGGTAAAGCAAAATTACTTTGTTGATTTATTTATCTTGTTGATTTATATCCTGCCTTTCTCCCAATAATGAGACTCAAAGCGGCTAACGATGTACTTAGAGCAATCAGAATTAAAAACTAGAAGTTATTAATAAATGTGTGTGTGTGTGTGTGTGTGTGTGTGTGTGTGTGTATATATATATATATATATTGTTTAAAAGATGATTAAGCAATTCCTAAAGTTAAAGCATTTAACTTAAAATCCATTAAAATCCATTAAAATCCAAGCCTTCAAAATAGCACTGCCAGTGTGGTGTAGTGGTTTGAGCATTGGGCTCAGACTCTGGAGACCAGGGTTCGAATCCCAGCTTGGCCATGGAAGTCACACTCTCTCAGCCTCAGAGGATGAGAATGGCAAACTCCCTCTGAAGAAACATGCTAAGAAAACCCCATGATAGAGTTGCCTTAGGTTTGCCATAAGTCAGATACAACTTGAAAGCACACAACAACAACAACAAACGACAGACAGCATTAAAACCCCACCCTATGCTGGGCAGCATAAAAATGTTTTGACTTGCATTTCTTCCTACCATGCCGTGTTTTATAGACTGTTATCATGCCTACCGCCACCATCACCCCAATTGTTTTGCAGGGTTGTCATTATCATTCAAGTCCCATGGAAAGCAATGCTCACTAAGAATCCCTCCACAGCAACTAGAGAAATTGAATAAATGATAGCATGAACAAATGATGTTCCTCTTTAACTGAGGCAGGCAAGTAGGTTTTTAATTGATCAGTGGTTAGAAAGAGGCATATTTTAACCTATGGGTTCTAGCCAGAACATTTTTAAAATCATGTCAGGTTTAGCATTCTTGAGTATTGTAAAATATTATAGGACTTACTGTGAGACCCTGCCAATCTCCGACTTCCTTTATTTAAATAATACTAGCTTCCACAAAGAGGAAAATAAACTTTTTGTTAAAGCAAATGGTGCTGTGTGGGATACCCTAACACAAATAAATTCAGACCACAGATCTAATTAAACATAGACCTTGAAATTGTCAGCACCTACAAATGCTAATTCTAAACATAGAAACGCTGATGGATCCTTCTTGCAGTTTAGCATCTATGCCATGTAAATGCTGCAGAATAATTCCAGTAGCCAATTTGCTCCCTACACAGGGCATCACCATTGGTGCAGAAGAGCTTAAATTAAACATAGACCTTGAAATTGTCAGCACCTACAAATGGCAGGTTTGCAATGTCATCCTATTCGCCATCTTTATTAGTCTTGTTCAATTTGTCTGTTTTATGGGGAGGAAGCCTTTATTGTGTTTAATGGTCTCATGTGAGCCAGTTAGGATCCCATATCTGAATATGCAGTAAGGATCATAATCTTTGATCTGAAGGGTCCCTTCTACTATCTGTTCTATTCTGTTTTCCTGCTCTCATATGGAGCATCCAGTGACACATTCAGCAATGCTAATGAAAGTGGCGATAAATACTGTACCACACCAAATGTCTGGAAAGTAAATAATCCTCCATTTCTGGAACTTAGGGCCTTTGCAGACTGCCAGAAATAGTGAAAATTGAGTCCACTTTAAGGGTTAGGTTAGGGAATCATGGGAACTGTATTTTATTGTGGCACCAGAGCTCTCTGACAGAAAAGGCTCAATGTCTCAGAAAAAAAAAACAATTCCCATGACTCCCTAGCACTAAACCTAACCCTTAAAGTGGACTCAATTTGCATTATTTCTGGCAGTCTGCAAAGGCCCTTAGAGAATAGATCACCACTGAGATATAATAGGAGGAATAACAGTGCATAGTATGAGAGAGCGAGGTGCACCTCTTGTGATTACATGGAATGGAAATTCAGGTGGAATCAGGGACTATGAATGTGCCCAAGTGTAGAATTGCTTGTCCCATAGCTATGGTAATCCATGATAATTTTCTTTCTTGTTGTGAGCGTTCAAGTCATTTCCAACTTATGGCGATCCTAAGGCAAACCTATCACAGGCTTTTCTTGGCAAGTTTCTTCAGAGGGGATTTGCTATTGCCATCCTCTGAGGCTGAGAGTGTGTGACTTGCCCAGGATTCAGGGAGTTTCATGGTTGAATAAGCATTTGAATAGTGCAGTCAAAAGTCACATCCCTAATCAGAGCCAATTCACTGTAGAGTGACCAGAAGCAACTTTCAGTAGTGGTCATGGTCAAAGAAGGAGATTTGAAAATAATAATAATAATAATAATAATAATAATAATAATAATAATAATAATAATAATAAATTATTTATTTATAGCCCACTCAATCAAGAAGCAACCAAGAAGAAGAGGAGGAGGAGGAAGAGGAGGAGGAGGAGGAGGAGGCGGAGGAGAGATCTAAAAAATTTTAAACTCCTTCTTAATGAAAGAATAATTTATGAACCCAAATAGAAAGGCACAGCATGTATTCAGGGCATGGAGCAAGACTCACATCATTGAACTAAAAGCCGTTACACATTTCCTATAATGTCATTGGTGGGGGGAAATCTAGCTTGCTTTTTGCTGCCAATGTAAGTTTTTGCATGAGAAGTGAAGCTTGGTAATACACAATTAAGCCAGAGGGATAGATAGCAAAATGGCAGCGGCATGCAAGACATGTCACAAATGGTTTAATAACGAACTCTTGAATTAAAAACCGAGATAGTTAAACCTTATTCTACAAACACTTCAAAGAAGCCCTGCAGTTAATCCCAAGGCACGTTAGATCAGAAAGTTAGTAAATGGTGCTGAGATAAAATGTAATTCAGCCAAATTTATTGGGGACAGGACAGATACCCTGACACAAACATGAACACATACAGGTAATCACAAAACAGAATCAAAATTCATAGACATCACAAATAGATGGGAAAGCAGGACTAGTAAAAGTGTTAGCTGGCAATACACAACACCAGCTAAGCAAGCAACTGCCTGAAAAGGCATAAAACCTAAATCAGGTTGACTTTTGTGTCTATACCAGCCAAAATACTCTGGGATGCTCCCAAAGTATTCTGACCCAGAGCCTGCCCCAGATTCCCTTTGCACTCTTGGAGTGATGCCAGGCAGCGGTCTGTGCACACATCTTGCTGAGCCACCTGGTGCCGCAGTCTCTGGTACAAGTTTCTGACCACTCTGAAGTCAGAATCAAGGTGCCCAGCATCAATCACATGGTTTGGCACTTCATTTTGACGTCAGAGGGAGCAATTTATGCCAGAGACAGTTGTGCTGGGTGGCACGGTGGGCTACATGTGTAGACAACCACTTGGCATTGCTCTAGAGCACTCCAGGTTTTCCTGGGGGTGGGGGTGGGGAGAAACAGAGCAAAATATAAGTCTTTTTAATCTGTTTCAAGGCAAGGATGGGGTGAATCTGGTGCAAAACTAGCCTTCCATTGTGAAGACAGGTGACACTTGACTCAGACCTTTGGCTCTGCGTTGTGAAGTCAGGGCGCCATAAGGTCAGGGGAAAGCTGGTTTAAATGGCTTGTGTAGACATGGCCCATGTTTCAAAGAAACATGAAGAATGTGCCTTTTCCAAACCTAGCTTTGTGTAATACAAAGAATAATATTAATAATTATTATTATAAAAACTGCCAGGTGATGTTTTGGAGAAGACAACTTTTGTGTTAACAAAATCGTATACAGTCGGTTCTTTGTATCTGTGGGGTTTCTGTTCTGGACCCTGTATACCTGTCAGAACCTGGCTCCAGGTTCTGACAGAATAGTGTTGGGGATGATGGATAATGAGAAGGGATGGTGGCATGGGGTTGGCAGCTGCTAGGGTGTTTTGATAACAGGTTCTTTGGAATGTAGAGAACCGGAAGGGAGGATGGTACTCCTTGGAGCCGTTGGTGGGGGATGAGCAAAGGTGGGGGCGATTGAACTGGGGAAATGAATCTGTGGGAATTGTAGGTGGAGACGGGGTTGCGGGCCAAGAGACTGGTGGGTGGAGTGAAGATTTGACTGGGTTTAATTATGGGGCTGTAATGTTGGGGGGGCAGTTCTGGCTGAAACGCAGTGCTGTGAAATGCTGACTTTATGTGTTCAATAAACTCCTAATTACTGCAATTGGCTGGTTTACTGATTCCACAGAGTTCTGGCTTACAGCACAACAATTGTTAATCCAATTATCTGATTCCTCCAAGGTGAATTTGTCTCCTCACTTCTTCTCAGCCTTGCTTACCTCATTGTCATCTGAAGTCTGGGCCTGCTCTAAACTACAAGGTAGCAGCCAAACAGCAGCAGATTGAGCAGACAGAGTACTGTATATACTCATGTATAAGTCTAGAAATTTTAGTCAAAAAAACTGACCCCCAAAACCCAGTTCGACTTATCCACATGTCAATGTAAGTATAGTCGCCCCTCCGTTTTCATGAGGGATCTGTTCTGGAATCCCCCCCACCCAGGAAAACAAACAAACAAACAAAAAAGCAAGTATTCAAGCCCCATATTCAATATTCAAGTCCGTGAATGGGGAAGGATGATTGTACTATAGTTTAACTCTTATTATTAAAAAAAAAAAAAAAGAACCATCTCCTTCTTTGAGTGGTGAAAGGCAAGAGCTTAGTCCATCCACGACCACCCTGATAAATCCAATTGTATCTGTCCCAGCACTTCCTGCAGCACTTGACAATCTCTGGATCCACCCTGAATTAGATACTGATTGCAGTGATGACTAGGCTTCCTTGCTCTTAAAATTAATTGGCCTTAAAATTAGGCTTATAATTAATGTATTAATTCATTCTAAGATCTACATTAAGAGGTCATTTATTAGAGGCTTTATCTTTTTTTAAGTTACAAAAGGAAGTGAAAACAGTCCATTTACAGAATTCCTCCCAGTTAGGAAAAGTCAAGATAATATTGACTTTCAGATTTTTAAAATAGTTTTTATTAGATACATTTGACATAATAAAATAAATCATATAAGCATAGGAGATTTTCACATGGGGATGGGATAGGGACGGGATCGCTCCCCTGTCCTTATCCCATCTTTAACCTGTCCGTGACTGTGCTGGCGAGAAAGGCTTTCCGATTGTAGCACCAATCCTGCCATTAACTTGTCATTAAAGTGGCATTGCATTAACGCAAACTTCCGTTAATGCAAAATGCTGGCCAATATCACTCTAATGACAGGTTAATGGCGGGATAAGGGGCACATTTGAGTTAGTGTGTCTGTTCAATTGTCTTCATAAATGTATAATACTGTTTGGAAAAGTAACTTCTATGTCTGCTCAGAGTTACTTGAATCAGTGATCCTTATGCCTAGGTAGATAGGTTAACTAGCTAAATAGATTTTTGACTCATTCTGTTTTGTGTCAAATTATTTGAGAAATTATTTGTTTGAACAATAAGAAAAC